TATCAATGGACCGGGATGGGCTATGAGTTGTGCGCTGCAGGGAGTGGAAGATAAGGCTGAGTAAGTTCATCCTGTTATTGCTCAGGTTTTAGATATTCTCTTAAATATCAATATCATAGTATGCTGTGTTAGGAAGCTGGATGCTTTGCTGGCAGAGGGCTCGTAGCTTCAATGCTGTTTTCCTGGCAGTGTTTCTCCTGTGTAATAAATATCCCTGCAAAACCATAGCAGTAAAAATGCAGCTTTGAAGTAGCTGAGCCCATCCATAGGACCACACCTGGCAGGCTGGGGATCAGTCTTTCTAGACATTTGCCACCACACCTCTGCGGCACGGACATCACCAGGATCTCACTACAAGTCACGCTGGGAAGGGTTTCTTCTGCTGCGCTAGGTTTTTGACTAAAGCTACATTTGGGTGGAAGTGTCTTCTAGCACTGTGTAAAACCATATATCTTAATCCAAGTGAAACTTCTCTTCATTTTATTCAGTGAAATCAGGTATGAGTATACAAGAATTATTCTACTGCCATAGAGACCTCAGTGCAATGGTAGCTTTTAAAGGTGGCCTGAGAGCCAGAAAGTGAACTAGAAGAGTTTAAACGTTTTCAAAAAGAAACCGCTGAGTGGAAAGGATCAAGATAAACCTGGATTTTTAAAAACTAATGGCCTGCGTGTGTATGTAAACTTGGAGCACACGGGTAAGCCTGCTTGCCAGTATGGACAGTTTACCACTATGTATTTTTGGGAGGCATCAGGACCTCCTATCCAAAAAGGTGTTTAGGGGTTTTTCCCTCCCTGGTATCCATCTCAGTTTCAGTTGGCTTTTTCTCTGATGAGTTCTTAATACTTGAGGTATGCAAACGCTGCATGTAGATGGGAGTGTAATAGTATCCAGAATTTTATGGTGTAGATTATTAACTTAGGGGGAGCTGCACTGACAAAGGCATTTTTTTCTCCATGGAAAAGTCTCCATCTGCTTTAGGAACTTTTCTGGAAAAGCTGTTTCTAGTGTAAACTCAGTGGGAAGTAACATCGATGAAAAATGATAGTGCTGTAGTATCTCTTCAGGTGAGAGAGCTGATCGCCCCGCATTGAATTCTCCGTAGGGCCTTTGCAGTGTTTTTTTTATCTTCCCCCTGATTTATAAGTTTTGAGGAGAATAAGCAAGGCTTGGACATGCTTGGAAGGAGAGGGTGCTCCTAAGAAGTGGGGTTTTGTTGTGTTTGGGGAGGAGAATCTGTCTGAGGCTACCCCAGGACATGTGATAGAGGGTGACTTAAAACTTAGGATGTATTTTCACCGTTGTGGGAGCTTTTTCCATTTAACACAGGACAGATGTGAATGATAAAATATAAATTGAAGATTAACATACACCATCTTGGCATGTGAGATGTTCAATTATAGGCAGAACAAGCAGAATAATGGAAAATACATTTGAGTGATTGTTCAGTTAATATAATTTGCAATGAATTATTCACAATAATTTGTTCACCTAGCTCTTATTGTAATCGTTTTCATTCCTTCATTTGCCATGCGTTTGAAACCGCTTCCCACAACTTGTGCTTGACACGTAATGAAGTATATCCATGCATCCAGCCCCTTCTCCCCACGTGCCCCCCGCCTACATGCAAAGAACGACAGATTTTAAAGAGCTCAGCATTTTAGGCACTGAGCTCTCTTTAAGAAGTTAATCGTAAGTGTTAAAGTGGAGGCTGCTGCTTGCTGAACCTGCTGATATGACCCATAAAAGCCCATTCTGTTGGGCTCGAAGTGACCTGAGCTTGCAGAAGGCCTTGCAGAGGAACCATTTCCATGCTATACGATGTGCATATGGGGGGGGACCTTCCTTTCATGCGTGGTGTGCTGAGGCTCGAGCCAACAGAAGGCGATCAGCTGGCGTCGAGTGATTAATCTGCATCCTTGCGAGCTGAAGCGTACGCTTCCTACCTGTATGGCATCATTTGTGCCTGCAGGTGGGAGGAGAAGGTGTTGGGCTTTGCAGTGAGGCGTACGGCACTGGCAGCCTTGAAGAGAAGCACTTTGCTTGCTCAGGTCCCTGTCTCTTATGATGTGCATTAAGCAGCGGAGCGGGTTGGTGGCAGTGCCATAACGGTCTGGCTTCCAGCACTGCAAAGCATCGCAGTTGTGCCTCCCCCTTTCCTATTCTTAAGGCACTGGAAAAGTGACAAATGTACATTTCTCCTGAAGTTTATCAGAAAGGAGGAGTTGTTCTTCCCGGCCATGTGGGAGAGGGCTGTTCCTGGGTAGTGGGCACGGGGAAGATGTCCATGTCCTCCCTCCACATTCCTCTGCAAGTCTGCCCGCAAGGAGCAGGGGGTGATGAAGCTGCTCTTTGCCACCCCGTGCCCTGCTGCTGGGGGTGGGGGGTAGGAATCAGGGCTGCGTTCTGCTACAAGCTTGGTGGGACGCTGGGTGAAAGGGGGCATGTGTAATAGGAAATCACAGCTCTTGGAGACTTCTGCCTAGCTGGTGGGACTTGTTGCCTGGACCATGAAGAATACTGAAGGCAACATCCCCCTGACTTTAGAGAAAAGAGCCAGGACTTGTTGCTGCCCAGCCCTGTGCTCTGCCTGACAAACCCCGAGATGCAAACTTCAGCTTGGGACTGGTTGTAGAGGAGTTTGATCTCTTCTTCAAGCCATGTTTGCCTGGACTCATTGGTACCATATCCATACCTAGCTTCATTACCTGACTTTTCTGTGCTCTTTTATGGTGTCTTCTGCTTGTCAGTTTTCGGTGTGTTGGGAGATACTGGGAAATGTTTTGAGGGTCCGGAGGGCAGATGGGAGCCAAGGAGAGGTGCACTACAAACATGAGGGCTTCTGCAGGGGTTAGCAGAGAATTCAGAGCTCTTTACGGGTAAGATAAATCCTTCTCTGAATCTTAACCCTTCAAGGACTCTTACAAGCTCTGTCAAGCCATGATCGCAGAGCTTTCAACACAAAACCCTATACTCCGTAACAAGCTGGGATTTATGCTACTGCTTCTTCCCATGGAAGGACAGCACTTGTAAGGTTAATCTGCCAGCATCTACTTGTCCAAATCTCCGTAATCAGGCAAAACATGATTATGGAGCTGCACGTCATTAGTACACAATGGCTCTTAAATGACTGAGATTGAATTAAAGCCCTAATGGCAGAGCATTCAAAGTAAATAAGACAACCAGATCCACTGGTGAATGACTCGCCTATCACTCAGCTTGGATTAGGACAGCAGGAGCTTGGGGCTGGCCAGAAACAGTAGAAGCACAGTCATTAATTTGGATATACTGGCTGGGGTTCAGCACTCTTATTACTGTCGAGCATGCAAGTGTCGGGGAGTGTGAGCTGAGTGTAGGCGTGGGCTTCCTGCTCTGGGCTTTGAGCTGGAAAAAACTCAGGCTCTTTGGACTCGCCGTGGCGGGGGATGAGTTTTGTTCTTTGTTGTATTCTGCCTTTTTGTATTAGTTGCATCGAGCAGGTGTCAATGCCTTGAAATTATTTCCAGCGAACGTAAATTCCAGCATTCATTTTGAGTTGGGTGAAACAATCCTGTGACATAAAGTGTTCTATTTCACTTCTGTCTGGTTTTCTCTTCCTTTTTGATAATGTCAGACCGATGGCTTCCAAACAAAATTTCACTTTAGTTTTGATTTGCCTTACTTGCGAGTGCATTTTCCAGATCTTTTAAACAAAGCTTCGTAAATCAACATTGATGTCATTGTGGACATGTTTTCCATGTTCTACTTTGGATGCCAGAAGCGCTCTGTCCCTGGGGACAGCCCTTGTGGATGTTTCCCTGTGGATGTG